TTTGCTTCTCCAGATTGAGAAGTCACAGCTGCGATGGCTTGGGCATGTGTTGCGAATGCTTCCAGAAAGGGAGGCTAAGCAACTGTTTCTTGTGAATCTGACCGGCAAAAGGCCCAGGGGACAGCCAAGATTAACCTGGTGCAAACATATGGAAGGAATATGTTCCAGACTGCATTTGTCTTTTGCCGAAGCTGAGACTGTGGCACAGGATCGGGAACGTTGGAAGCGCTCTGTGACGCGTCTGCCTCCGCGACCCGAAAGGAGAAGCGGCGATGGAAGATGAAGAAGATTTTGACGCAAGAACGATTAAGAATGTTGTGATTGATTCCGTGCAACTCACCACATGCATCAACTTTGCTTTACAGACGTTTCCGGAAACGATGAACTAGTACTGACTGAGACGTATATTACGTAAACTAGTAAACCTGTTTTGACGTGAGTGACATTTTCTCAGTTCCGTGCTAGCTTTCATTTGCAAATGAAAGACATGCTGTAACATACACCAAATCTTCTCGGACTAACAAACACGCAATTGCAAAGCAGCAAAACAAGCAGTACGAAAAGTGACCAGTATCACGCTGAATAGGGCTTTGAGGGGCGATCAACACAGTAATGAACTACGTCTTTTTGACCGATGATGTCCTCATCGTCCGTTGGATGTAGCGATGTTTCTTGTAAGGAAATAACGTGTGTGAGTGACAAGCAGCACGGCTAGAAGCGACTTAAGCTCATGGAAGTTTCGAAGGATGGCCATACAATTGCCATTGTGGAAAATGCAGACGCTTACCGAATGCCCTTCATTCATCATTTTGCTATTCACTTTTTTGCAACCTCCACTACTGAAAATACTTCATATTTTGTCATTTAAAGAAATGTAGGGATTGGCACGTGCTGTAGATCAATGAGGCCAACGTTGAGCACGGAGTCAAGATCATAAGGGACAGCTGGCTGAGTTTTAGTAATCACAGTCCTCAAACCTACTCTATTCTTGTCCGCCATGGAACCAGCGATGGAAGAAAAAGAACATTTTTGATTAAATAAGAAAAGGTAACAGAATTTAGAAGCAGAAAAAATGGAAGCAAAATTGAAGGAGTGCAGATAACAAAAACGAAGGATTGAAACGATTTCCTCCTAAAGGCATGCAGATGCCTAAATGGTGGCAAAAATAATTTGTCAAAAATTAGAATACAAAAGTCTAAGGGATGTTAGGTAAGACTCACGACCGGCCAGATGACATGAATTTACATCTTCTGCACTTCGGATAGTGATATTTCGATTTGAAGTAAGGTACATGTGCTTCCTGACTGCTGTACACTTAATCTAATATATTTCATGATCAGTACTTGAAAACTGAGTTTTGTAACTTTGCAAACTTTTATACTGTAGCGTGCTGCGCCAGTGGAATCATGGCATAAGTCGCTTTTGAGCGGTAAAATATTCTCGCTACTGTCTTCTGCTGTGGGAAAGTATTTCAGTAAAATGTATTCGGTTTTTCTGAATGGAATCAAATGAACTCATTGTTCTGATGCTCGACACTGGAAACGTCATTCTGAATTTTTGCTAGGGTTAAAATGGTTAGGTGCTGTGTAGTTGAAGAATCCATAATGCTATAGTCGGCAAAAAACAAGTAGCATTTAATGAAATTCCCGGAGCCCTGTTTTCATTGCTGTAAATTCTTGACTTGTTCTGGATTTTTGTTTTTTTTCATGCATCAAGCCATTGTGGCTGAAGAGAACTACGAAGAGTTATAGCCAGTTCTGTGTATCTCTTTACCTGCTACCAGTGTGTTTTCTGTCAAGTAAACCGAGATTTTGATATGTTCCTCTGAGTTATATTGCCCAAATTCTCACGTAATGTAAATCTTGCCGGAGAATTTACATACGTATAACTTAGAGAACTTTCACAAACATCGTGTGATGGCCGTTGACGTGGTAATCGAGTAAACATTCTTTCACATCGGTTGCTTTTTCGCTTGTGGCTACCGTTGAATGCTGTGTTTTACAGTTAAAACAGGTTACCGTATGTAGGTCAGAAACCGAATTCCTGGTAGACATCAGAGGTTCACTTAGCTGTCACCGAGAGGAAGGCTGCTTTCAAAAGATAGCTTGAAAGTATAGATCCTCGACTAGGAAGCGATACGAAAAAGTACGCAAAGCGTCTAGAGAAGCAGTGGCCAAAGCGATAGCTGATTTCCCGGATAAGGTCTGTACTGTGCTGGAGGCGAATTTCCAGACGGCATGCAAGGTATTCTAGCATAGTGTTCGCCGTCTCAGAGATGGAAGGAACGATAACCCCTCCAAGAGTCCTGAGTGGTCCGGACGCTCTGTTACTGTTGTTGTGGATGTACATATGCGATAGAGGGCGTTCTTTGAAGATTCGTTAACTCTGAGCAACCGCAGGAAGATTTGCATGAAGAGCAACAGGAAACGGATATTAGTTTTTCTGTAGAGAAGTGGCAGAAGTTGTAAAATATTTGAGAAGTGGCAAGGTTGCTCCAATCGATGAAATCCGCCTAAAATGATTAAAGCTATAGGCTAACAGGGCGTCTTGTGACTGATACGTGTCTGTGAAACTGCGACAACTACGAGGGGAAGACACTACTAGACTGCGGTTGAAGTATTCTTGTTCAAGAAAGAAGATGACAATAACTATTCCACTTATCGGGCATTACCTTATTGAGCCTCCCGAGTAAAGTCTAGACAAACGTGTTGGAAAGAGGTGCCGATTGAGTATAAATAACCGACTCCAAAATATAAGATGAGTAGTGTGGATTCCGGTCCGGCCGAAGCACATCTGACCATATATTCACCCTACGTCAGATTGTAAAGGAATAGTGGGAGTTCGCCCATCCGGTATATATGTGTTTTGTGGTCCTATGCAGGATCCTATGACAGGATTATGCTCAACAATCTATGGACATGCCTACAAACATATGGGATCGGCGTCCAGTTCATACCAGCCATCCATTCATTACATGTTAATACCAGGTATTGCGTCAGAGCAAATATCGTTAAGTCGAAATCCTTCAGCGTTTGCATTGGTCTCCGCGCCGAGACTGCGTTCTGTCCCCTCTCCTATTTGTATTGTACTTGGACGGAATAATCAGCAGGAACAGGGGCGAGCAGCGTAGATGTGAAGACGTTATAAAGCAGCTGAAAGATGGAGACAGCCACCCCCAATTTGAAGATAAGGAATCTGGAAACGAAGTAGACGAAGAGTTCGAGATATTTTTCCAGAAGAAGTATAACGTACAGTACAACAGCGATGTCTGAGGACTCCTGGCATATAGTGGAACTAGTTCTAGAGTGGAACTCTTTTAGTGAGAAGGTGTAGTATAGACCAAGATACAGGCCTTTGTTTTTTCGCTGTCTGAAGGAAATGAAAGTTTTAGACGATTCGTTCGACGCATCGGTGATTTTCCTCCAGAAAAAATGGAGAGGATTTGAAGAACTATTGACCGATCAGTTTGTTACCAGTCATCCTGTATATTTTCACAAAGGTCCTGACGAACGTGCTTCAAATAAAACTGGACGCTGCATAGCCAAAGGAGCACACATTATTCAGGGGAGGATTTTGTACGGCTATGGCGCTATTAAAACTTTTAGGCAATCTATAAGATTTATTTCAGACTTTCACGTATCTACAAGATTAGTGTTTTGTGTTTTTGTGATTTATATTTTTTCGATTGTCTGTCGCTTTACTATTCAGTTGTTTAGACACCTGTGAGAGAAACCATGTTCATGGTGTCAAAAATAATCACTACCATCTGTGTTCCTCCTCATAGATTCGGGGAAGATTTTGAGGATGTCATCGAGGACCTGTTTAACGAAAAATTTGCTAATAAGGTATTTTTTGATTGATGCTTGTGTTGCCTCGTTACTGAACATATCTTATTCTCGGGTGCACTATAGGTAATTCTCAATGTTGGTCTTTGCATACGTTTGTTCGACATCTATGAAAGGTCTGTCGCTTACGTTTTTCCAGGTGATGGTGCAGCAGTGACAAGAGGTAAAATATATGGCAATACCTGTGCATAATACATGATTCGTGTACGTAATATTTGCTTATTCTGTACAATATATTTATAATCCACTAAAAACGAAAATTTATTTGTTTTTTAAATTTCTGACATTACTTTTTACTTTATGTTGTTTCCGTTCATAAATTAGCCTAGGCCATTCTATGCTGAAATCCGCTGTTATTGCCGAAGCAAGCTAACCTGACTGATTGCTTTAATAATATAGTAGTCAACAGCATTGCATTTTAGAACAAAAGTTAGAATCTACACGCTGTGTAAATTTTGCTTTTAAACTGTTGAATTCATTACACCGTGATCTATCCAGATGACTAAATCAGCACAATCTTCAACCGAAATTAAGAAGAATAATAGTGGATAGTAGTACGTAGTTCTCGTGGATTGATTAACCGATCCACTTCCTGGCTGTCTATTCGATATCCTGTATCTAAGTTACTATAAGATGCATGTAATGCATAGATACCTTTTGTATATGCTACATTTGATCGGTTGTGTTGATAATTTTTTATTTGATCATTTGCTTTTGTTCAGAGGTTACCCAGCGTGAAGTTTCATAGCCCTCTATTTATCAGTGAATACTGCAGA